TAAGCTGTTTACATCAAAGGTTAACAATCTAATGTAGTTTTAAATCTAGTGTAAATGAATTAGCTAGAATGTACGTTGTACACATTTGCTAAGTGAAGTCCTTGACATTGGATATTCTGTGGAATTGTGGAAGAGTGAAAACCAGCTGAAGTGTACCAGATCAAGACATATTGTCAATCTTTGAAGTTTTTAAAACCTACCTGGATGACGATTAAGATGTAGGGAATCAGAAGTTTGAGGTCTTATATGACATTATTTCAAATCTGTAACACTGACGCAGAGGTGTTCACTTTTTTCTACGAATATTCAGAAATGGTTTGCGTCCGAATGAACAAGCTATAATCGGTTACTTTTGCTAATTCAATAGGCTTCACAAACCCATATTGCCATCACTGAAATCTCAGCAACACAGAGAACTGAATATACTAAGTAACTGGTTATAACTAGGAAAAGCAATTTTGACGGTAATTGGCTCCGAGAAGGCTTCATTTATTGCTAAATTTGTTTCGAAAGGTCAGTAGAAAGTCAGCTAAAAAACCAATTGGACGGTTACCGACAGGCATTTCAAGGAGTAAACTAAGAAAAAGAATAGAAGTTAAAACCTGCCATTTCACCGTGAACGCCAAACTAGTTAGGTTGGCAGTGAATACTCATGATAGGGAAAGCTTTAGCTTACAATTGTATCATTGTATATTAAGTTCATTGTGAATTCATAAAATTGTCCTAATATAGAACGAAAAAACCTTTTCCTTTATAGTTTTATACCGAGGCAATGAATAAGACTGAAAGGCAAACTGATTGTTACTAGATTTACAATAATGGCACAGGGATTATTTGTGTAGCTGTTTGTCATTTGAGATAAAAATATTTGGTCAGCAATGATTCTTACTTTATCAAACTCCCAAAGAAGGGAAACAGTCTTTGAAAGAACAAGAACTGGCGAGTTATCATCCTGCTGCCCATCCAAAATAAGCAAAATATTAAACCACATCATCCTGAGGAGACTATAGGATGCGCTGGATTCAAAGTTACAATCAGAACAGGCTGGCTGGGTGGCTTCAGGAAGAACAAATCATGTGAGCACCAAACGGCGAAACTATGCTACACCTCTTCATAGGACACAGCATAGAATGGCAGCCAACTCTCTGCCTAATCTCAACCTTATCTATTTTGGAAAGGCCTTCGACAGCGTCAACCGAGAAGTAAATTGGTAGCTGCTGCTTCAACGCTACAGTTTCAGTGACACAAATCTTTATCATCCTCATTCAAAAACTGTATTAAAACGCCACATGCCAAGTGATTTACAGCTCAATAGAAAGCTCAGTTGAGTGATGCATTTGAAGTGAAGATGGGAAGGAGTGAGAGAAGGCTGCCACCTAACATCACCAATGATCTTGCTGATTGTGATTGACTGGACTGGACTGTACTGGACTGGAGTGGATCATGCAGCAAAGAGTGAGGAGCTGTGAGAAGAGGGGGCATAGGCTAGATGGACCAATGAAGAGACCCCAGAGGAAGAGTTGTATTTCGTCGATGATGATTTATATCTAATGTCCTGTAGCACAAACTCGTAGATCTTCAAGCGAAGACTAACAAGCTGAGAGAAGAGGTGAGGTAGGATAGTGAAGCCTGGACTTTCTTCAGGTGAATGTCGAGAAGAGAGAGATAGAGGTGATGAAGATGCCTAACCAACAACAGCATCAACAACAAACACCAATCAACATGAACGGGGTAAACCTGAAGGAGGTAGTCTCTTTCACCTACCTACCTGCCACCCCTAACACATCTACCTACCTACCACCCCTAACCCATCTACCTACCTACCACCCCACACCTACCTACCTACCACCCCTAACCTGCACACCTATCTATCTATCTAGACAGCATCGTTTCAACTACAGGCGACACATACACAGATGAGGAGGTCGAAGCTACAAGCGGAAAGACAGTAAGACAGGCCTTCCTACAATAACCTGAAATGAGTGTGGAGATCTACTGCACTGCACTCAGTATAAAGTGTGAACAAGATTCGGATTTTCAACACCAATGTCAAGTCAGTGCTTCTATATGATTCAGCAACTTGGCGTGTCACGAAAAGCATTTTCAGCAAACTACAGGCATACATTATCAACAGCTGCCACCTTTCCAAGACTCATCAGTCGAATCTGTGTGTGAATGTATCAGAGGTTCCACTAAGATTCAAACTCATCACTTACTTCCTTGAGTACCAGATGGTTAGAAGGTTTTTTTTATTGTTATCGTATTGTATTCAGAATTCATACATGAGCCTAACACTTCACTCAGTAAAAATAACTGATTCATTTAAAGCATGTTTCCAAAGAATCTCATTTTTGGAGGTTCTTAGAGATCTATTAATTGATTTTAAGATGGAATTCACCAAGAAATGATTTCATTTGAAGGAGCATTGGAGACCCGGGATCACTGAACAGCTGTTTCGTCCAATATTTGAGAGCTCCACAGCAGTGGACACCCATGACTCTGTTAGAGATTAAAACCAGGACCTTCAGTTTCCACAGCCAGCACGTTACTACTAAATCAGTGATTCGGAACCCGGTGGTCTATATGTCCTACTCCTGTCAATTCATGATATTGTGCAACCTCAATATAATGTCGTCGTTGACTAACTGTCCCCATGTTTACCTTGGTTGACTCGACTGGTCACTTCTCATTGGAACTTCAAGAACCACCTCTGGAATCTAGCCACATAACCTGAAGATCCTGGGTTGCATCCCTAGAGGGTGAGACAATGGGTGCGCGCAGCTGAGGAGTCTCATACTTGGGCTTCCAGGTTTCCAATGTTCCTTCAGCCAGTGTTAGGCCATGATGAATTTCATTTTTATTTGCTTTATTAACGTTTTTATACGGTTGCTTCAAGGTTGTCATTAGTCTCATCTTCTTATCATTTGTTTGATGGCACCTTACGCTTGAATCTAAAACGTCAGTTCCGTCTTACTTGATACTCACTAATTTAATGTCCCTACATCTCAGTAGGCTAGTATTCCAGATAAAATTTAAATTCAGCACTTAGTACTTCAAATATCAGAGCTCAGTCCACTAGGCCACTTAGCTACGACAGTGACGTCTTACAGACTATATATTTATCAACTATCCCAGCTCCAGTGAGTGTCAGCAAGTGTTTCAAGCTAGCGATCTTCAAGTAGGACAGGAAGTGAGTTAAAGATTTCTGTGACAGCCAGCTCTAAATAAAATATTTATGTCAAAGATATAAACTATGATTTGACTGTCTGAGATAGCCATTGGTTTGGCTAACAAGTATTTGTACTGAGTGGTGATTGAAGGTGAGATGAAAATCTGAACCATGGCCGGATTCGAGCCAGCGACCACCGGGTTCCCAGCCTGGTGCTTTTCCAACTGAGCTACGAGTAGTCGGGCAATATACTTAGTGATTGAATGGAAATAAAATTCTGGTCAGCAGTCGGACGTCGTAACCCGGCGGTCGCTATCCGAATCCATCCAAGGTCCAGATTTTCATCTCACCTTCAATCATCACCCAGTACAAATACTAATCTACCAAACTGACGGCTATCTCAGATAGCCAAATGATAATCAATACGATGCTCCTACTGTCTAGTTCAGTTACACTGGGATTATGATAAGAAGGCAGCCAGTGTAAAAACTACCAATCGGTGGTAATGAGTCATGAATTCACATGGTAGTTAGGCAAAACCTTTGATAATTGAAGTGAAGTAAAATTCTGTTGAGCAGCTGAATCTCGTAGCTCAGTTGATAGAACACCAGTCCAGTCGCTGGTTCGAATCCGTATATATACATATGTATAAGTTACTACTGTCAATACTTGAATTAGTCATCATTTAGTAAAATTTATCCAAAGTAATATTTATGTAATTAAAATCTACAATTTCAATGGATTAACATGAAAATATTTTCAAAACAAAATAATAAAGGTCCTATCTTTAAATCAAAGCACTTTTCCAATACATGACCTATACATGTATAATTCTTTATTATTCTATCGAATTTTATTATTATACTTTATATTTTATTTTTCTTGGATCATTTTTTTAGTGGATAAACAAAGGTCATTATATTAATAATAATAAATAAATAATGAAATTACAAAATTTTTAATCTACTTAAATGTTTATTTATTCAATATATGTAACATTATTGTCATATTAGAAAGTATTATGTTCAAGATGAGAATTAAATATTTATTTATTTGTATTATTATTTCTGAGAAAAAATAAAATTGATGTTACGAATTCCTAGTCTAAATGATTTATTCAATAGTTTATGTAAGAATTAATCAGTTTAAATGTGTATCTGTGTGTGTGACTATAATTTGAACTTCATATCTTCCTTCAGACATTTATCGGTGATGAATAATTTTATGAAAAATATATTTTCATCATTATTATGTTGTTTTTCTGATTATAAAGTGATCATGAAAAGATCTAGTGGAAAGTAACTAGAAGTGGAAGTTTATTTTCTTTCATTTTGTAGATTCTTATTTCAATGCATATTTAATCAAATTTTGAGGGAGTTGTGGAGATTTGGAAATATTTCAAGTTGTTATTCATCGAAGGCTGACATCAGTTGGAGGAACAAAGGAAACCTGGGAGCACTGGACAGCTGTTTCGCACTGTGCGCACTGCTGAGGAGTCCCATACTAGGACGAAACAGCTGTCCAGTGCTCCCAGGTTTCCTTTGTTCCTCCAACTGATGTCAGCCTTCGATGAATAACAACTTGGCATATTTAATCCTTTTTGAAATCAACTAAAAGTTATTATAGACTCATGTCTACAGAATTAAGGAAGGATGAATCATATCAATGTACCTAGGTTGCTATTGCTTAAGACAAGAGATAATTATATTTCTATGCTTATCGTAAGGTAGATTGGTTGTCTTTTCTAGCCTGTCAGATACTTTATATCATGGTATCCAGTTGAGACCACTGAAATGCTTCTTATGTCAACGCTTCTTAGGAAACTATCCGTCTATTCAGTTGTATGTATTCCAATCTTCTGAAACATTATTAATTTAGAAGTGCTTATTGCAACAGCAATGATTTCTGTCGTGCACTGAAAAGATCATATGAGCACATCATGCACTAGGCCCCGGAGTGGAACCCAGATGGTAAACGATGAGTTGGGCATCCCAGCTAAGGTTGACATGGAGGAGATGGTGTGAGAAAGAAATGAAAGCTTGGGGACAGTGGTAGAGCAAGGTTCAAAAGATTTCAGAGAAGAGAGTGCAATGGGGACGTGTTACTGAAGGCATATTTTCCACTAGGAATTCAGGGGAATAATAATAATAGTACTTCAGGTTGAGTGAAATCAAGAACTACTAGTATGTGTGCTGCATTTTAGTTAAGAGGAAACTTAATGGTTTAAAGTGAACATTTCATGTGAAACAAAAAAAATAAAGTAGAAGGAAATCTGATTAAAAATTCAACTTGAACTTACAAGTAATATTCTCTCCGCTGTTTTATAAAAATTCTCAGCTGATTCATATAAATAGCTTGCATAGATTCTTATCCAATCACGTAGATTTGATGTTACCTTATTAAAGAATGAGTTTAGTCTTAAAGCTACAGCACCAATAAAAATCAACTTTTTTGGACCAAGTAAATGATCAAGAGATTCCCAAAGTGATCTTAAATGATTCAATCGATTCTCGAAATTTCGTGTCGATGGCATTTTACTACCAACCCATTTATCTATCACATTTTGCTGTTATGGTAAAAAAGAATAACATAAAAACCTATGATACATAACAAAGACAAAGAAAAAGATGTTGCTTTCATATGTTTATTTATTTAAATAAAAATATCTTAGGCGGTGATTTAAGGTGAGATGAGAATTTAGACCTCAGATGGATTCGTACCATTGACCACCGGGTTACTGGCCCAGTGCTCTACCAACTGAGCTGCGAGATTCGACTACCGACTAGAATTTTATTTTACTTCAATCACCAAGGATTTTGTCCGACTACCATATGAATTTGTGACGCGTTACTACAGCTTGATCGCATTCCCACTAGCTGCCTAGTCAGGACTTCCCATTCCAATCCATTTCTAACGGCATTACATAAGGTGAGTATCATATTGATTATCATTGGACTATCTGAGATAATCGTAGTTTGGCAGACTAGTATTTATACTGGGTGATGATTAAAGGTGAGATGTAAATCTGGACGCAGATGGATTCGAACCAGTGACCACCGGGTTTCCAGCCCGATGCTCTATCAACTGAGCTATGAGGTCTGACTGCCGACTAGGTGGTCGCTAGTTCGAACCCGACCACGGTTCAGATTTTCATTTCACCTTCAATCATCACCTAGTATAAATACTAGTCTTCCAAACTATACGGTTATCTCAGATAGTCAAATGATAATAAAAATATCATCTCATCTTGTGTTCACTTTTACACGAGTTTCGATGTTGAACTCAAATTGTAAGTCTAGACTTGCAAGGTTGTTCCGATATCGATGTCTAGGTAGACATCTAAAAGTTTTCCACTGAAAAAGCCTAAATGGACGACTTTATTCAAAAACTACACTCTGAAATAGAAATGCTCATATTCTTTGTTTACAGTACAGTACAGTATATCAACTAAATCCTAAGCGAAGAAGTGGTAGACAGTCGAGATTAGTTAGTAGATTGATCAAAGAAAGCTCAAGAGAATTCAATAAACTTGAGATGACATAATACGCGGTTCAGTGAAGACCAATATCAAAATTGGTAGGAAGATTTACTCACCAACTTCTTCATGTTGTTTGACTTCATTACTAATCAATACATTCTGAACGTCATATATTAAACACGTGACATCCAACTCCTGGACTGTCAGCCAGTAGTTGTTCTTAAACTCTAATCAGGAAAGCATGATGAATACCTGTGACTAACTTTTCTCCTGCAGTATGTATTTTTGGATACTACAATCCTCGGAATAAAACTTGGAATCGGGACAAAATTTTTGTCATTTCCCCCCAAAATGAAAGGAACTAAAATTTTGTAGTCTATTTGGTGGTTGGCAGTGTAATCCAGGACGCGTCTCCGTGAATGACGTTGTTCTCCTACTGAGACTGGAACCCAGTACCCATTACTTCAAACCCACAGGCACCATCCACTAGGCCACTGGGTCATGACAGCCACCAAATGTGCAGCAAATATCAGCTGTTGTTTATTGATACTTGTAATTTCCTGTTGCTATACTGGTCGAATTGTTCGAACTCCGTTGGCAGGCGGGCTTCTAGGTGGATCCCTCCATATTGCCTAGAAATTTAGATCCTCTCTTTTCACACTGACTTCTAGATTCTGTCAGCTCTTTACTTGATAACATCAGTATAAAAACAAAAGTTGTCTCCAAATTGAAACATTGAGTATTATCACCAGCCAAAAGGTAGCGGTTAGAAATCATTTTTAATTTTAGATATCATCTCACTGTAAGACAGCATAAAGTAAGACAGTCAGTCAATCAGTAGTTTCCTTTTGAGAAGAAATTAATTCGCGATACTGATGTCTTGTTTATTTGTAGTCTTTCAACTCAGTGATGAGAAGAAAAGTAGTCAGGATACCGCGAACCTATATTAGGTGACATTACGTACCAGGCCAGGCCCTCGAGTAGAACGCAAGGGGAAACGGCAAGTTGGGCGTCCCAGCTAAGGTTGACATGAAGGAGATGGTGTGAGGAAGAAATGAAAGCTTGTGGACAGTGAAGGAGCAAGGTTCAAGAGATTGCAGAGAACAGAGTGCAATGGAGACGTGCTACTGAAGGCATATTTTCCACTAAGAACCCAAGGGATATATAATAATTATTATTATTTGTTTCAAGTTTTATCATAGTTGGAACTAGTGAAATAAATATTTTTATTTGCAACCTTAAGCATACTCATACATGCGGTAATTTGCCAGACATTTATGTTACTAGTCTGTGTCATGAGATTAAGCATTTCTGGGCTCCACCACTGATCCTATCCTTGCTGTGTTTATCATCTATTTTTACAATTTCTTTAAAGTTTCTTGAAGATAAGTAACGCAAAAGCAAATTATTCATATTAATAATGGTTACACTAACAAATAAAAAGAGAATTCAAAACCCTTACTGGATTATTATATAAGAAAAGTAAGTTTGAATGTTTGAGCAGGATTCTTAAGACAAGTGGAATTAAAGTGGTAGTAAAACTCATAAACTCATTAAGAAACAAGCTTTGTAAGTTAAAGGATTCTGCAGAACCTATTAGAAAAATAGTTTAGTTTATCACATTACATGTAAGGTTTGTAAAGTGAAGTATATAGGTCAAATCCGTCAACCAAAGTCAGTTAGAATAGCAGAGTATAAAACCTTGGTCAGATCTAGAATGAGGGATTCTAGTAAGATGAAGTAACTAGGAGAAAGCTCAGTCACCGTGGTGTATACAGTCACAGAATGATGTACAGTAACAGTACGTTAAACTAACTTAGCAACAGATGTAAACCTAATATGCAACTTCCGGTAATTGTTTCAAATTCTGTGTTACTACTGAAGTACGGTTTAATACAATAAAAAGCACTGAGTAACATCCATCAATCTGTTTGCGAATGACGAATTCATCCCATAAGGTGAATAGATGAAATAATGCATGAGTACGTACGTTTTCTTGAATGAAGAAGACAAGACTACTGCTAGCCAACATCATTTATACGACCATCTGAAACTTCTTGATTCAAATTAAGTTTTTGATTAGGGCTGCTTGAAAACTAAGATTGTAGATATCACTTACCTGTTTTGTAATAACCATTCTTAGCAGGAAATCATCCTAACTCCTGAACATATTGGAACTACTAGACAACCTTAAAACAATACTTTGTCAAAAATCAGTTGAAATATAAATCGGCGATGAGGTGTTATTTCTACTTAACTTCGTCTTTAGCAACTCTAAAGTTGGTAAAATTAACTATATATTTAACTTCAAGTTCTTTTTATCGGTGCCCAATATTAGGCCTCCCTTCATATAATTTGTAAGTTATCTCCTACCAGCACTTGTGAAATAACGTTTGACTAACACAATCTGTTTTCACTCAGTATGATCAGTTTGACAATATCTCCATTAACTAGTTAGTTGGCTAGCATACACAGCCAATTAATATTCTGAACCAGGAAGACGATATGTTAAATTATTGTGTACTGTAGTATAAATTAAATATTTAACTGACTTCAGCTACTTTTATAGGATAGTAGTTTTAAGTATAAACACTGAGAAGCCTAACTTCTTGCTATATAAAATGGAAAGATTATATTTAGTTAATCAGAAATTAATACAAATTCTTACTACCTCTGATATAAAATAAGATGATTTTATCACCAAGTTTCAAATATACTTCAAACAAATATGCCTTTCATATTAGAACTCCCAACTTTAATTTACAATCGTGATGCAGACTATATAAATGTCTTATTTAGAACCTTATTTTAATAATCAGCTTGCCACATAATTTCTCTTCACTGACTCCATAATGTAAAACATTCTTCTAGTATTTGTCAAAGTCAAACAGTATAAGATATCTTCAAACAAAATGAAGTCCAAATGAAAGCAGATATTTAATTTAGTCGGTAGGGTATGAGTTAACTTCAAAGTAGTCCAACAGTTTTACACTGAAATTTGTACAAATATTGAAGATTTCCAAGCAGTATGAAGCGTGGAAGTCTTCAACTACACTTATCTAAATGTTCTCATTGAATCATCAAAAGAAAAAAGACTTCACAGAAAATAGTAATTTTCACGAATATCATCTTCAGAAGCTGCATATCCGTATTTCATACACAATTAGTACGCATATCTGTTTAGTGATTGGAGCCAGTGTGTACAAACACAGGGATATTCACAGAGCGACATGGAATTCATCAGGTGGACAAACTACACTAGAAATCAGATCGACTTCATCTCAATGTGAAGAGAGTGGAGACTCAGCCTACCGGACATAAGATCGAGAAGGGGAACAGATGTAATTTCAGATCACTCACTATCTAGTGCAAGGAACCTACCTTCAAAATCAAGTTGAAAGCTTTCACACAAGCTTGTAATAGACGACAACAGTTGAAGTTCAACACCCAGAAGAGAAAATGAAGGAGGAAACTTCAAAGGACATGTCAGTCATCAGGACAAATTGGGAGACATAAAGCAGCACCCCTGAAGAAAGCTGCGTGGAAGGACACTTGAACTCTTTAAAAGCGACGTGGAAGGAAACCTGGATAACCGTGTTAGGAAGGAAGAAGAAGCAGCATGAGACAAGGAATGGATCTGGATGGACACACGGAAGCTGGCGGAGGAGGAAGAGGAAGACTATGAAGCAGAAGATAAACCAGTGCAGTGCAGTGCAGTGCAGGGATGAACAACGAAAAAGGGAACTGAGTATAACGTACAAAAAAACACTACACTGGGCAAAGAAGAGAAGAAGAGTGCACGGAAAGACAAAGACACTTCTACGAAACACTGTCAAGTGAATCAGAACTGGCTGCAGGCTTCAGGAGAGACAGAGACCTGACAAAATTATATCATATAACCACGGTACTATCTGGTATGGAAGAGATCAACGCAGACGAAACCAATGAGAGGTAGTCAAGGAAAGCTAGTTACCATAGAAGACTAACAAAGGCAGCAATAGGCCGACCACTTCAATAAGCTCTTGAACCAACCAACACATGCAACTCGCTCAGAA